AGCTAAAGAGCTGCATGCAGATGGGAGATGAGCAAGGTAATGAAACATGTCAAAGCACTTGAAAAAGCAATATATGGGAATGATTGAGATCCATCTTTTGTCTCTGGTACAGAGATTATCTGAAAATGGCTTTGAATAGAAACATAAGATTTCACAGTAAGAGAGGTATAGTGTCTTTCTCATATCATTACCTAGTAACATAATACTGAGATTATACTTTGAACTCATTGTTATGTTAAAATGAGGAACTGTTGTGGTCCCTTTGCAGTTTAAATACATTGCCAGACATTTTTTTCTTTCCTTTTTTCCCTGGTCAGTACATTGAAAATCCCCTCCACACAATAGACTTCAGGGGAAAAAAAAGTTGAAACTAGAGCAGCATGTAGGAGAAGTGTTGAAATGAAGAATTCATGAATAGCCTGAACAGAATTTTCTGTTCATGGTGCTCACAGCTGACCACAGAAAACACTTTCAAAGGTTAGAGGAAGTGTTCATTACTGAAGAAGGAATTTCTCATGTTATTAGTTTGTGCATTCCTGCATTGGGCTTTTAGGTGCTTTTTTAGAGATTCTTCCCTCATGTTACGACAAACACTTTCAGCAAAGCCTGAGCTCCAGGAGAGGAATGTGTACTTGGGGCATATGTAAATATTTACCTAAATTGTAATCTTTCTTACAAGTCCTGCAAGATAAAAAAAAAAGAAATGCATGCATGTTGCATGATAATTTGATCCAGGTACTTCACAGGCCTTAACTTACTAGATACTCATGAGTATCATTTTGTGAAGTAGGTGAATGGATATTGACTTTATCAAATAAGAGGAAGGCAATGGTCTGAAAGACACAAATGGCATAAGAATAAAAATAAAATCTTGCCCCAAATGCTTAGACAGAAAATTGTTTAAAAAGCTGTCATTATGCGTGATGAATCTCAGGCAGATTAAAATTACTTGTAGTACACTCTCCACTGAGACTGACAACAGGAGGATGCTTGGGAAAGTTAGCTCAGCACCAGAACCTTCTGTTAGGTGTACTGACTTTTACTGGTGGAATTACATTATCACATTTGAAAAGATTCCTCTCGCTTGGTTGCATCAGGGTTTTTTTTGTGTATCCCAGAACACAGATATGTACATGGTATAGTTGCTCAGTGGGGAAAATCTGAGTAAAGTGAACATAGCTGATTAGCTTGCACTTGCAGGTATGGAAATTAAAAATCCTCATGTTGATGTCTAGCATTTATTTAAGGGTGAACATAATGTAGCCAAAGCTCAAATGTTCTGGTCAGCAGGATTCAAGCCTGTTCAGGAAGACCACAATAGACTTTTAGTCTGTTTCCTCAACCATTTTGCCTTGACTATGTGGCACGTTTGTTGAAACCTTGCTGTGTTGGTAGAAAGGTCACTGTTGGTGACTTTCTCTGGCCATGGAGAGTAAGACGATGGTATCACTATCACTGTAAGCCGCAGGTCCTGTTGTGTGGCTTCTCTGGCCACTGACTGCTGTCCATGCTTGTAAGTCACCACACTGTGGGAAATTCATGGGGAGCGTAGCCCAGGGGTGTTGAGACCATGTAATTTCTTGGATGTCAAGATTAAGATCCTTTCAAGGAGCTGCTAATATCAGAGAAGGCTGAGTATCTTGATCTTACCTTCACTTTGTAGAGCAATTAAGTAGCATAGGTACTGTGTATAGTTTTCCTGAGATACTGCTCATCTTTGTAGACAAAATGAACAAAAAGTCTTTTGTATGTGTATATATTTGATGTCTGTATAATGTATTCTCCACAGTGTGGGAGGACATGCTGCTGAGAAGGTCAGTCATGATTCATTATATAGACATTGAATCCTCTTTTCATCACATTTGCAGCTTTGTAGATCTTTTCAGATACTTCTATTTGCTGCTTCTCAAGTAGCTAAATTAGTAGCTGAGCTGTAAAGAGTAGTAAAACCCCTCTAAAAACAGTCTTATTTTAAAGTTATTTTAAAATTCTAGTGATTTTCCACTGGCTCTTCTTTGCTGCTGACTTGTGAAACAGGGAACAAGAAGTTCATGTTCATGTACAGACTTAGTAAGAAGCTTAATCCTTCAGTGGTGAATGTTAAATGCTTCCTTTGAGTTTCTCAGCACCTTTAAAGTCCTTCCATGAACTTGTTGAATTACACCCACAGCACCTTTTCCAAGTGCAGAAAATCAAGGCAAAAATTCAATACCTGTAAAAGCTGTTTAACACAGAAGTTTTCTGTGGAATATTTGATGACCCATGGCACTTCACAGATCTATTATAAAATCTCTCCAAGTCACCCTCTGAAAGAACAGCATCATTTAAAAGTATTGCAGAAGTCTCCAGTTGCTCACCTGTCCTTACCTGCAACTGAGAGTGAGCTGGAAGACAAGGAGAATCCAGATGCATTAGCAATCATCACCTCTGTTCTCCTGGCTAGGTAACCCTAATTGTTAAGATACTGCATATTGAAACTGATTGCAAAATCCATACTGTGGGTTGAACCTCCTTAAGAGCTTCGTGCCCATCCAGATGGGTAATTGTCAGTGCTCTGAGCTCTGTCCTGGAAGTCTAAATTAAGAACAAGCCTCTGGGCTGCTTCTGGGCCTGTAGTAACTTCTTAGGCTTTGTCCTTGCTCTGTAACCGGCTGACCTGAGCTGCCCCCAGCATACAAATCCACTGTACCATGCTGTCAAAACAAATTACTAAGTGTCAGGCAGCACCACTGAGGAGACAGAAGCCAGGATCTTAGCGAAAGTAAAAGGTTGCTCTTCCATGCTTGCTGAGGAATTCAGGCAAGCAAACATTAAGGGAAACAGTCCTCCTTCCCCAAATGCTGCCCTGAGACTTGATCCAGAAAGTGATAAGGTCTTCCATGAGGAGAGGTAGGGAGATGGAAGGAGGCTCTGCTGAAGCAACACCCACGATTCTAAGAAGTGCACCAAACATGCTGCAGCATGTGCAGGCTTTGGGAAAGGAGCTTAGGGGGCAGGACTTTCTGTTTGCATTGTTCATGATGGAGGCTGGGTACAGGGCGCTGAGGCTGCTGCTTGAATAATAGAAGAATAGCTCCTGGTTAAATCTGGGCTGATATTCCCAAAGGAGCTAACTAATACTGTGTTCAGTTACTGACATGATTTCTTTTTTGCTCTTCACCTGTATTTCCCTCACCTCCCACATACTCCTTGCACCATCAGTTCCTTACAGCCTGCTCTGCTGCTTTCTTACAGGGGTGTGTGCTAGATCTGAATCCATTAGTGCCTAATGAGCTAGATATTTAAAGCTTACCATTTAGGTTACACCCCTACATTCTTCTAAATGAATATGCTTCAAATATTTACAGATCAGAAGTAAGCTCATTTAAAATAATGAGTTAAGCTGATGCTACTTGCTTGAACTAATACCTCCATATAGTTCATCGCAATTAACCAAAACATGTGGACATGGACATTTCAGTCAAGAGACAGACAGGATAATAAGGAAACCTCATTTCCATTTGTAAAAGTCCTAATTATCCTGACATTTAAGAGGGTACCAGTTTCCAATAAAAAATACAAATGAGGAAGTGTCTTTAATCAAAGCACGATATGCAAGGCCTTCTCAGAACAGTCCAAACTAATGCTGAATTGAATGTTAAATGCCTGTAAATACTGGGAAAACATTTTGTGAAGACTCTTGGGACTTTACCAGAACTGATTATAGAATCATAGAGTCATAGAATGAATAGATGTTCCAAAAGGCTGTGATTTCCCCGTAACATAGCCTTTTGAACTCAGTGCCTGTTCTGAAAGTTGGCCTAAGGTCTTAAAGACCTTACACCTCGACATATTTCTTCAAAACTAATGGGGCAATATGGGAAGAAGGCAGGAATACTGAGGGGGGAGAGGAGAAGTTTATCATGTGGGCATGAAAGACAAATCTGTAGGGAACAAAGCTTCATTAGTCTTGCTGCTCGTAAATTATGTTGGTTTTCATTTACAATAAACTTAGGCAAGCTGATACTAGAATTTGTCATTATTTTGAGGAGACTCCCTTTTTTGTTTGATTTAAAAGTGTGCTTACTTAGTTAGCTGTGCAGTTTGGAGGTACAATTCAAACCCTGTCCTTTGGTCCATTGCAGGAGGTTTATGCCATGAAGCCTCTATTGCATGTATATGTGTATGTGTATGTGTATGTATATGTATATGTATATGTATATGTATATGTATATGTATATGTATTATATTATATGTATATAAAAAGACAAGCTAAATATATTTGAAACCAGCATGTGGGGAGGGCTATTTTTCCTTTGAGGGGGTAGGCCTGCCATTTTTGTGTAATGGAACAATTTGGAAACAGTATAAAGCATTCTCCATGCTGCAGGTGGACTTTGAATTCCTGCTCCACAGACTAGAGGCTAATGGTAAATCATGGTAAACTATTGAAATTACCTGATCTATGTGGGGGGTTGGAGGTGGGGGGAAGAACCGATAGCTGCACATTTTCTAGGGCAGATTATAACCCCCTAACTAGGCTATAAACTCTCTTCACCTTTTATGCTGCTGAGAACAGTAGTCTCTTTCTTGTAAATGAGGTTTCCTACAATGGATACTGCTGGCTGAGAGTCTGAATTAAGAACATAGTTGGAAAGACAAAAGAGTGAAGCCTGTTTAATTAGGATGAGAGATACTCTCCCCGTTTAAATCCTCCAATCCCAGTTTAGCAGAGCATAGGGGTTGTTAGCACTGAAAGGTCTGACTTGCTGACTTGGGTAAATGCAATGCTCAGCAGATAAAGTAATGCATAATTAATTGTTCTTTGTTGCGTTCTTTCCAGTATAATGACTTGTAGCATTCACACTTATAATAATTGATGTTTCTATGTGCTGGAGCTTCAAGACAGCCAGTTAAGGCAGTGGAGGTGTGGTAGCTGGTGGTAGCTGTGCAGCATCTATAGCATCTGTGTGTTACCATCATGTGGGCTATAACTTTTTTCTTTCTTTACTTGTTTTTAGTGCCTAAAACAGTACGTACAGCTGGCAATTCAAGAAGGTTGTGGATCTTCTATCACATGTCCAGACATGGTATGCCTGAACCATGGGACCCTACACGAAGAAGAGGTACCAATACTTTCTTCTTTCTCTCTTTTTTTTAACATACCTGCCCCCCCCCCCAGTCTTCTTGATATCTACATAACGAATATGATCATAAACTTTTTCCTCCCTTTAATTACCTTTAATGAGCTTTTGGCAAGAAGCCTGACTGACAAGAGGAACTAGAAACAAACAGATGTTTTTCAAGGGTTTTGCACTTTTCCCTCCATCTGTGCCTTGAGGAAAGGCTTACTTGGCATCCTGACAACCTCTGAATTACCCATGCAGGTGACTTAACCAGAATACCCTGTATCCCAGAATTGCTGAGCCTCCATTACTGTTGTCAGTTAAATCAGATTTGATTTGAGTGCAAACACTGTAATTCTTGCACCTCTTGTAACTCAAGAGCAAGAACTCAAAGTGATGGGCCAGAATTTCTTCATGTGTGTTTTTAGTGGTCTGCAACAACCAATTTGAAGTCCAATATAAACATACAAGACTGTATAGTTATATAGAAAGAAAGGTAACTGCACAGCACTGGGTGGAATTTCTTAAGACATTCAAGTGTCTTCACTCCCAAGGCAGATACGGGACAGGTTGAGAGCTCAGAAGCTAAATGAGGTTTAGGTAGGGCTTTTTGCACATCAGACACATGCACAATCAGACACATGCACAATCTTCCAGTGTAACTGGAAGATTCAGTTTCAAAGTTGGAGGTGGAAAAACTGGAGGGGAAATTGTGCTCTTCAGACCTTCTTGCACCACTTGGGACAGTGAGGCCCAAGGGGCTTTTAGATGGCTCCTAACAGGCTGCCTGATGGCTTTTGCACCAATGCTTGAACAGCCTCCTGCCTGATTTAGGGATGGTGTAAAGTTACTGAACTGTGTTTAGCACCAAGCCCATGATGTGGGAGAAGCTGTTGGCAGCGTGGCTGGAACCCTAGTAGGTCCCAGCTGTTCTGTGCATCTAGAAGGCCACAGAAGACTGTGGACAAATCTGATGTTGCCCTGCAGCTATTCTTGCTTTGTAAACCAGGTAGGTGCCTGCTGGGCCTGAGAACCCACGCAGGAAAAGAAGACAAACCAGGAAAAAAAGGTGGTTAAGGGATTGTAGCTAGTTTTGCGCATTCTCTCTGCATTTGTTTGCAGAGACAAAATTAAAGAGAATCAGGTCTCCATCCCTGAACTGAAGAAAAGCAGCTTACCTTCTTGGTTCCCTTGAGCCCTGTGACTACAGATGACATAGGTGTGGTAGAAGTATATAATCTTATTAAAATGCAGTCACAGGCAGTGAAATTCCCAATACCAAAAATGCCTATTGTTCCGGAAGAAAATCATGATCTCCTCTCCAGCATACCTTTGAAACACCATGCTTAGCTGAATCAGGGCCTGGGAGTTGCAGCTATGTTTGTCATGGCATGCCAGGATATGGTGGCACTTTTCTTTGGCTGAATACAGCGATTGTGGAAAGTAGCCAGCTGTTTCCTTTCCTCCTTCTGTATAGATACTGAGAGGGCGTAGCAATGTTCCTTCTACCCATCCCACCAGGTTGGGGGTTTAGTCTTGAAAACGTGTTTTTTAAAGAAAATTAACAAATGGTAGCATTATGATGCTATAGGAATTATAGAGATATATTTCCCCTTAGTAAAGCAGGAGAAAACTCCAGGGCAGGTATAAATGAACCATTAGCTTAATCCTAGGGTGTTTTCTGGGCTGAAGGCAGAATGACTAAACAGCCCAGATGCGCATTAGTATCCCATGGATAAATTAATGTTCTGATGCTCCCTTTTGGCAATGTGCTTGAAAAACAGACTTACACTTGAAAAGCAAACAGGCACCCAACCTGATTAAAATGAACTGCTCATGTATTTTGCCAAAACCCTTTCTTTAAGGACCTCCCCCCCACAGAAAAGCCCCAAAGGAATGATAGAAAGTATAGATTATCTCTGTTAATAATATGAAAGCTTAGTATGTAAACTGCAGAGTGTGTATGAGCACTCTGTATTCTGTATTGGTCTTTTTTTCAGCTTTGTGTTAGCATCAGGGTTTTGAAAAAATACTTTCCATGTCATGTCCATTTCAGACTCTGCTGTGCCTGATGTTTCCCAGGTACCATTACAGTTTGGAGAAAACATAGCAGTTCAGACTGTCTTTGCCGTGGACATGGTGTTAAATTGGTTCCTAAACTTTGGGCTAAATTGTGTCTGTTAGCTAACATGGTTGTTTTGTTTGCTTTTTAAATGCCTTTTGCCCTTGCCTGTGAAGGTGAATTTAGACATAATCTGAAGTGAAGGAAAGCCTTTTAATTGACTTTGGTGTATTTTGGATTGAACTCGATTCAATGAGGAAACTGAACAATTAATAAAAAAGCTTATAAGTAATTCATAACACATTATAGCTATGAAGGTTCCTCTGCCTCCCTCTCTCAAGGTCTTTATTCATACTGTATAGAAAATGTTGGGAATTCAGGCTTTACTTTGGGTCTTTGTGCCTCTTTGGACCTGAGAAGAAAATGTTCCAAAAGAACTTAAAATGAAGAGTCATTTAAACTAGAAATGTACTTTTCAGTGCTTTGAAAATATGTATCCTGACACCCCTCTGTTTGGTTGTGGGCTTGGTTTTTGGTTTTGTTTTGTTTTTTACTTCCAACAAAATCCAGTCAAAACTGGTACATTTCCCAGCAGTACTTTTTTGTTTTGACAATAATACATTCAAACAGAAGGATCTGTTCCACTGGAGTGCAGTCTTAGGTCAGATCTTGACCTGTTACATCAAGATAGCAGCTGCTTGTATTATAGCTGGTTTCAAGTAGAAATAAATGGGTGTTGGTGGTGGGAAGGCAATGGTTTTGGTACAGACTCTGTTTCAAATAGCTGGTTACACAAAAAAAAAGGGAAGTTTAAAAGCAATCTCATTAAACAAGATGTTTGTCCTTTTAAGCTCTAATAGTATGGTAAACAAAGATGATTTGGATTCCTTCCTGGCAGCAGAAGGTAGGAGGAACATCTTACGTTAGTACAGTTCTTTTTAGCCATGCAGATTTCTGTCTAGAATATTCCTGTCTCTCTTGGGAATTTGCTCCATTGATTTCATTGGACCCTAATCTAAATAAGGGGTAATTTATCATGGTTTGAAATGGTTTTGTTTGGTGCAAATCCAATCACCAGTGTAAACTATGAATCGGGATAAATCTCAACTGCAAACAGGGATTTCTAATGCAATACTCACTCGGATAATGTCTGGGGAATTGTGCTTTGCTCTTTCTGATTCCTGTATTGTTTTGAGGCTTATAGCATTGATGCCAATGATCCATGTATACATAACCTGATCCGGATTAAAACAAGGCAGCAAGCAGTAAAGGAGTTACTGATTTGGGCTGTCCTTTTGTGTCTTTTGAGAGTTACGCCTTTGCATGCAGTGCAGATTCTGCTTATTGTCACTCCATCGGGGTAGACTATGATCTGCACTAATACTAACCTGACAGAGGGTTGTCGGCACTTCGTAAAGTGATGCTGAAATGGGACAGTGACCCAGATCTTAGAACTCTTAATTACGCTCTATTCCATGCACAGCTGAACAGAAATCCCGTTGGGTGTCAGTTTAAAATAAGAGTTTTATTTTTAATTTGAAAATTGGTTTACAATTTGCTTGAGGCAATTGAAATGGTAAAATGAAGAGGAAGCTGAGAAAATGTTGCAAGCCAACCTGTCTTTTTCAGGGTCAAAATTACAATTTTGGTTCTTACTTACTCGTTTTTAAATAAATCCAAGCGGAGCAAATGAGAGAGTCTTAATTTTGTTTTTATTTGCCACAGAGTAAAAGAAGAGCTCCTTAATGGACAAAATGAATAATTTAATATTTCATTATGACTCTAGTGAGCGTGGTAACTGGTGAAGAAAGGTGTGGGTGTAATTTCTAACAATGAAGAGTCTGAATTCCCATGCCCCTTTCAAAAGCAAATCACCGCCCAAGTTAAAACTGTTTTGCACTCCTTGCAAAGCCAGGCAGTGCCCATGTGACTGGGACTTTCTCAGAGGAGGGCAATGCAACCCCTTTGCAGACAGCCATTGCTGCTGCCAATGCATGATCTGCCCTTGTATATCTGCTAAAGTGAGAAACGGGGAAGCACTTGTACTGGTGAACTTCCTTGCCTTGGAATTATCAAGGTTTGATTCATATGGGTGTGAAAGGAAGTAAGATCTATTCAGTTTTCTTGATTGCCTCCTTGCATCTCCCTTGAAGGCCTGAGAATAGGTGGAGCAGTGATTTTCCCTTTCCACTGTGGTAGCCAGCATTTGAAAACAGGGGAGTTGTTCTTCCTTGGCTCCTGGTTACTGCACTGCCTGGGTTACAAGGAACACTCTGCCCCTGTGTAAACTGAACCTGATTATTTCAAATGCTTTCATTTTCCTTCCTTTGCTCTTTGTCTCGCATAGTAACAGGGCCCTGGTTATCGCACCACATTGGGCAGCCTTTTTGGACACTTGGCAAGGGTCCAGCTGGAGCCTTTTGTGGTAGCGAACCTTCAAAATTTTGCTTTTTTTCCATTGATATTTTTACTTCAGGTGGAAGCTGCTGCTGTTAACGAGAGATCTTACACGTTCTTGTGCTCTATAACAAGGGTATTTTAACTGCTTGTGTTGTTAACAGGGTATAGAAAACCAGAAAACCTACTTCAAGTCCCAGCAGCCTGCTAAGTCACAAATCAACATCTTCTCAGGAGAGAGTTCAGAGGAGTTCTTGCCTCTCATTTTCTTCATAGGCTTTTATTGTAACCTTAACCCAGTATTAAAAAAAAAAAAAGAGAGGGAGAGAAAAAAGACCAAAAACTTGTCCTGTAGCATTTCTGGCTACATTGAATAGTTTCATGGCCTAGAATAAGAAATGTCTGCTTTCCGACGCGCTTATGGTCTTTCCGTCTTGGCCCTTTGCCACCTGCTGGAGTGCTGGTTTGCTTCTTCCCCAGATCTACATCCTCTGTCTAGCCCAGAAGTGTGTGTGATTGTGCAGAAGAGGAGGTGTTTAGGATGGACTCCTGCACGGGGGTGGAGAAGTTGTATGGAGAAGTTGTATGAAGATGAACATTTAGACTCTGATGCCAAGCAGAAGATAAAAACCTAATCCCCTTACCATGTTTACGGCTGTCCTCCTCAATTAAGCATAAGTGGGATTAAGTTCACTCAGGAAAGGATTTGCTGGGTGTTTTTTGGGACCTGATACTCATTTTTCTTTTTTTTTTTTCAATTGAATTTGCATGTACAGCTTTGGTGTGTCCCCAATTTCAGGCAGCAGCAGAAATTGTGCATTCCTGTCTTCTTTCCTAACGATGTTAAACCTGTGGGAGGCTTTGGCTCAGCCCTTCTCAGGTTGATCTCAGTGTGGGTGTTACTGGGGTCTGATCTTTCAAAGCCTGGGGGAGTCAGTGCCACTGGTGTGTGTTCAACACCCAGAGCTGTATGCAGGGATGGGGGACCTGAACTGTGAACAGGGTACATAAGAAGAAGAGTGGAGTTGGTGAAACCAGTGGGAAAGGCTTTCATGGTAAAGCCAGGTTTCCAGTTGGAGAAAGGAAGGCTTACAGTGCTGCCTCTGCTTCCTATTGAAATCTGCAGTGACACTCCTAACTCCACTCCCACTGTAATCGAAAAGGCTGATTTTTATATGGGAAGTTCTGGGCTCGATAGAGCTGCTCATGGAAAACTGTTTGTTAAAAGCAAAAGCAAGCACAGAAAGACCCCAGACAACTAAACAATTCACTCAAGTGGCTCTTACAGCATTGAGATGCGCTGTTTTAATTTAGTCGTAATGAAGGGAAATTTCAAGTAGTTGCCAATGCTCACCCAGCTAGAGAAAAGCAGTGACTTCTTTTGTTTTCCAAACTCCATTTATATTTGCAGCTGTCCTGTGGAGAAGTGGGCAATACTGAAATAATGTGTCTTGTGGATTTTATACAGCTTTGCTGGTTGTCATCTTTGCTGAAGCTGCTGAGCTTGACTCTTTTCCCCCTGTTTGATTGTTACTTGTTTTCCAAGGGTGTTACGGCTGATTTCTGATGAACAAGTGAAGAGTTTGCCAGGAAGCACTCCATGTCTTGCAATCATACTAATGTAACATTGTTTAGACATGCAAATACTTTCATACTAAAAATAGTTTACACCCTGAATTCAGAAATTGAACAAGGACAGTACTTTTGACCCAGGGCTGTCTTGCTTGACTAAGAGTATGCTTTGTTCAGATCTGTTTGTGTTTCCCATTGTGATTTCTTCAAGTCTTTTAAGTGTCTTTGAATACTTAAATCTTGACATCAGATAAATGATCCAAATATCTGCTTCAGAATGCAATTTTAATTCCAATTGATTTGATGTGGATATATTATTTTCTTTTTTTTCCATCTACAAAAGCAAATTATCCACAGCTTGATGTTGAATTATATATTGGATTTTTTTTTTGCCTTTGTATTTCTTCTCACAAGTGCTGTGTCACACATCCCAGAAGGATAGCAAGGGCCAATGTCCACTTCACTGAGGACAAAATTTTGCCTTTTACAGTAATATGAAGGACTGTGTTGGGATGCTGGATATGAGGTTTGAGAGCCCTTCATTTTGAAACTGCCAGTTCTGCACTATCCCACAGTGCCTCAGATGATGAGGTGCTGTATTAGTATTAGTCTAGGTTTATTTTCAATAAAAGAGAAATAGATTTTCAGTGCTGGTACAATATTACAAATGAATCAGATAAAGAGAATGATCTGAGTCCAACAAACATGTGTCTCCTGAAATGTCTGTAAAGTTTCTTTGAAGCCCTCCTTACCTAGTATGCAGGTTTGTTTAAGGGCTTTAAATAGGGTGCTTGGTTTTCCTACATAGACTGTTAATTGTCTTTCAGGCTGCTAGTTTAATTATGGTAATGTATAAAATGTATCAGCAAAGCCTGTTTGTCTATGTCAGCTAAATTTGTTAACTTCAGTTCCCAGTGGGCTGGTGCATGTCTAAGTCAAATTCCAACAGCAGTGCATTAACCATCTCAGCCCAAAACCCATGAAGTGAATAAAAAATGGAAACCAAAGAGCTAAGTGACCCCTGCCATTAAGGCTGAGGAACGAGGAACCATTCATTTGAGTTATATTCTTGTGCATGAACAAGAATACTGCAGTCTAGAAGCCTGGCAAGCTGTCACCCTTTGTTACGTTAAACCAACATGAAATAAGACTGAGAAGCCTGAAGTAAATAGAGAATCCACAGAGAAGACTTTCCTATGCATAGTAAAAAAGACATGGCCTGAGCTACTGGGCTGTGTTGCTGAAACAGGAGAGATCAAGAGCTACTTTAAATTTTGGAAAAGGAAGCCAAGGTATAGAGGAATGTGGTGGTGAAAGCAAGCAGGGAAAAGTGGTGGATTGGAGAGCTGGCTCAGCTGAGCAGGTTGTGTAGAGCAGAGTGCTTATTAATTCTTTTCAAGTCTGTGTTTCTAATGTTTTTCCTGTGTGTTTGTTTCTCATTTCAGATTGCCTGTTTGGTGCCGGTTGACCAGTTTCAGTTATACAAGAGACTGAGCTTTGAACGAGGTGTGAACCTTTCGGTTTCTATTACCTTCCTTTTTAACATGTCAGTGGAGGCAGCAGTATTACATACTGCAGAGACAAAGCCTGTTGGGCAAGTTAAAGAAGAGACAGAGAAGATACCTTTGTTCTGAAAGAGTTTAAGAGCAATCACTAGGTCTGACTGTGCTCCATAGACAATTTTTTAATCTATTTTTTAGTTTATTTTAATTTTTTCTGAAATTATTTTAGTGAAGCAGAATCAACAGACTGGTGTCTTACTGAAATACCACAGTTTTACTGAAGCTCGTGGGCAGCACCTTCAGATTGCATGCCTGAGGCTCCATTGTTCTTCCTGCAGCATGCTTATCCTGGGTCTTTGAGGTGGTGATTGTAGTGTTAGGACTAGACAAGGTGCTAGAGGCTGGTGCAGGATGCACACGGTCCTTTCATACATCCACAGGGATCTTCAGAACTTCTGGGGGAAACAGACCCTGCAGTTTGATATGGGTTTTTGCCAAAGCTGCTTGCTCCATGCAAGGAGCTTTTCATATGTAGAAGCCTCATGTGTGCTCATCTAGTGTATTTTATTTTTCCTGAGGGATAAATGAACCCCTCATTACTGAGTAAGGCCCATTAGTAAAGAAGTTTGAAACTGAAAGTGTTACTGGGGCCCAGCTTTCCTATGCCAGAGGCCGGCCTTCTGCTTCAGAAGAAGGTTCCTTGCCAAGGCTGAAGAATAAACTTGCTAGTCAGAAAGACGAGGTCCCACGCTGGTTTTAAAGGCTGACACTGACTTGAAAGCCTCAGCTAGAAGCTGCAGTGTTTTTCAAAGAGCTCACTCCATGGTGGCTTGCAGGGTAGTGTATCTGGACTGATCTATTGTGACTCTGCCTGTTTTCAAACTTTCCCTGAAAGACTATTCGTGTTCTCGCTTTACATGCATGCCTAGATGCAAATAGATTGGGAACACCTGTATAAAAATGCAGGAGTTCATAAAAGTGAGGCACAGTAATGCACTTGGAAAGATGGTCATGTGGAAGAATAAGTGGGTTTTTACAGAATTTCGTTTGGCATGAGTCATGGTGAATGATCACGAAGCACAGAAACTGCAGCATGCCCCCGAGTTCATGGACAGATGCAGATTGTAGCTGTGATTTGCAAGCACTCAGGCCAAAAAAAAAATAAAAATTTCCATACCCTGCTTTATTTTTTATTTCTCTCTCCTATTTTACCTCCTTCTTGTTTATCCTTTATTCCTTAAGAAGTCCCTCCAGTTCAGAAGCCAAGCAGTGGCTTGTCTAGAGCCCTAGACAGGGGAAATCAGAGCTTTTAAATCACCATATTAAAGCAATTAAGAAACAGACATTCTTGCAATACATTGATCTGTTTTATATAAAACCTTTTTTTTAGCTGAGGTCTTGAAACTAAGGATTTCCTGGTATCTCCTCTGTAACTAGCAAAGCTGAACTCATGATCTTTTGTCCCATTCCCTGTTACATCTCTTTTCCTTTTTTTACTGCCTCCCACACACAGAAGCCTGAAACTTGTCTGTTTTTAAAATCCTCCTTTTCTTTCTTGCTTAAATCTGGCAAATATTCCTCCACCTCCGTTACCTCTTTTCTAAGATCTGTCCTTTCTCCTTTATGATGAGTAAAAACTGGCGTACCAGCAGCAGGCTTATACATAGCCTTTTTGCCTTGCCTATTGGTCACAGCAATAAATCTAGCGTACTGATTCCTGCTAACTAAAGCTCTGACCTGGACACCAGCCTAATCCAAATCCTGGCTAAGACCTTTTACCTGTCCTGGATTTAGCCCTGTTCTCAAGGCTGACCTTTATGGACTCATCAGTTGGACTTGGCTTATTAGCTTCTGGTGGCCTGAAGCTTGTCCTCATACCTGACCCCAGCATGGCAAGCCTGCATGCCCTGACCAGTGCCAGCCAGCACTGGCCTGAGAGTCTTTTTCTGAAACCTGCAATAAACCTTGCTGATGGCATCTGCTGGGGCTGAATTCTGATCCAGAATCTGCCCAGGGACTCCCAGCAGCAGAGATCTGTTGTGTCTTGTGTCTGTGTCAGCCTTAGTGCAACCTAGCCCTTTTCAAACATGGGGCTACAGAAAACCCAGGCCTCTCCTCTCTTAAAATAGACAGGTACTAGGGTATCCTTCGTGACTTGCTCTGATCAACAGAGCACTTTATTCAAACTCTATAGCTTCCTATTTTAGACCCTTCTTCTCTCAGCTTTATTCTGTTGAGATATGGGATCTTTGCTTCAGCACTCCCTTTGCTTTACTAGAAATGCTTCTTGGGTAAGTCAGAAGACTCGCTCTGTAGTGTTTGCTTACCAGTGTTGAAGTGATTGGTAAAGCCAATGCTTCTCACCCTTCCAGACATTTTGTATTGTGAGATGAATTTTGAGGAAAATTTTGAAGACCTGAAGAAGGGCTTATACGTCCAAAAGCTGTTTTTCCCATCCCCCATGCTAGCTATTTTGATAAGAGATTTCTTCTCCATTTCCTTATTAAAAAAAAAAAAAAAGGCAAATAATATTGGGTGAAAAAGTAGTGAGAAGTAACTGTTATCCAGTTGTATATCTCTGTACATTTGCTTGGTTCAGTAAGGACTGCACTGAAAATATTGTCTTGTGGGTTTTGTGTTCTTAGAATGCAAATGTTTTCAGGCTTAAAAGCAAACTCTCTTACGTATCTGTAACTTCTCTGCATTCAGTCAGGACCTAGCCACAGAGCTTCCATGCAGCATATTTTAACAGAAGGAACAGGAATTGCTCTGTGTCTGTTGAGGAAGGGGTTGATGTGGTCATCAGAAGTAATGAGGTAGAGGAATAGGATGTGGTTAGGACACATGCATTATATTTCTATTTTTGTGACAGTTGCCCAATAGACCAGGTGGTAGATGATGAGGATCTCCATTTTATGCCTGACCAAAAAGTAGTCCATTTTAAAAGGAAGTGTTCCTAATACTCTGTGAAAGGCATAGGCTTCATCCTTTCACTGAGTACCTCTCCTGAGCCAGAAGTTCTCCTTTCTTCAGGGTGCTGTCTTTCCCTTGTCTGTCTCCCACCTGCTTGCTTGTATGTCTTGTGAAAACTGGCCCAATTCCTGCCTGCTATTGTCACTGTGTGGAAAGGCTTTCCTCCTGAGAGTGGAGCAAGTGTGTCTTAACTGGCTCTGGGGAAGCAAGGGAAAGGCTTGGGAGAGAAATGCCCCTAACCAAAAGATGGAGAAGCTTGTTGCAGCAATGAGATAGCCTCTTTCCTTTTTTTTTTTTTGGGTGCTCCTTTTTATTTTTTTCTGGTTTCACTTTTAAGCCATGATAAACCAAACAGTATGAGGCAGCATGGATTGCAAAACACCATCTGTAGGTTCTTTGTAAAATGGAGGAAGTGGAAGAGGAGGGAGTTTCATCTCATGCATTACATCTTGCTATAACAAATTTGTAAAAATCAGAAAGATTTACAAGCCAGCTCCCCTCCTCCCAGTGATGTTAAAACCAGACATCCTAGCTTTCATCCAAAACCAGGACAGGAGAAGTCAGGCTTCCAGAGGTATGTGAGGCAGCTGTCTGTGGGAACTGCATTTTATCTCGTTTTAACTGCTGTTTATCAACAGAAAGCATACAGAACCTACTGTGTGTAGACTTAAATGCAATAGCCACTCCTAGGCCATGGTCTTGACTAGTTCAGAGTTTCTTTTAAGAGACACCAAGGGAAGCTACAGAAATAATGATTTCTCAGTCAGGACACTACTTTTTAAAAGTATATAAAAATGAAATATGGCTTGTACTGCCCATCCTTGTGTCTCCCTTCCTTCAACAAATGAAACTGCAAACTGTTCCAGCTTTCATTCAGTACAAACCAAAATGTTTGTTTGGCCTGTGGGGCAAAGGAAGCACATGTAAGAGAATAAGAGGAAAGAATGCAACAAGTTCGTGAAACAGATGGAGGTGGATGGTACAGGTGTTTTGCTGGCATTGCCTACAGATGACATGACTGGGGCATCTGCTAGATAGTCCATCCGCCAGCTCCTTTCACTCTGGGTTACCAGCAACCTCCTGCAGAAGAGCAGTACAGGCCAGGGAGATGTGCATAGGAGGAAGTGCCTTCAACTGTTTTAGCAAAATTTGCCAGAGGACATGTGTCTGTGGCCCTTATACAGCTTTTTGTTTCAAGTGGGACATTTTATCTGCTGGAGGTACATTGTAATGGCTTTGGCATCTCACGGTCAGGGATTTCTACCTGTTTCTGAGACATACCCTCCATCTACTTGTTTTCAGTGGTGGTACCAGAGAGCTCCCAGTGAAGGAGGAAAGGCAGGTAGCTCCTGCAAGCACAACAGCCCTTTTCTAGGGAGGCTCTGTAGGATGGGAGTGTTTGGCTGCACTTCATGGACTTGAGCAGCATAAAGTTGCGCACAGAGTGGGCACCTGTAACAGTGAATGTGTTTCAGCTGGGTTTCTGCTGCAGGTCCAGATTCCTTGAATATATGTTGGGGAGTGAGAGGAAGAATCAACATTTATCATTCTTTGCCATGTCTGTAACTCAGCATCTCCACCCTGAATCTCATGTTGACTATCACTGTATCTGACAAATAGTGATCATATAATAAAGTGAATATTAATTGGAGTTTGCAGGTAGAGGGGAGGAAATAAGGCATGCAATGTGACCTAACATTAATTTAATCACAGCCCTGCTGTTTACATGAAAGATACTGCATGGCTTGCACGCATGAAAAACATGGGATGGCCTAATGTCACAGAAGATACATTCTTCTCAGGGAGCAGCAGTTAGGTTAATCTTTTGTACCTCCTTATAAAGGCAAAGAATACATCCTGTGTAGTGCATTGCCATTCTTGTGATGCTTCCAGTGCAACTGCCTTAGCAGAGCACAATTGCAGACCTGCCTAAAGAAGAGTAGGCTCAAATGCCCACAGGCATGGTGGCTTCGCCACCCACGTTCAGAACTGGGTCTTGCGTACCTGTCACTGGAATGTCACTGGAATGGGAAGGGGACTGAATAAACAGTTTTATTTCTCTCTCTGATACATTTCAGAAGTCCACTTGGACCCCCGGAGAACATGGTGCCCTGCAGTCGACTGCCAAACGGTGTGCCATATGGCACCAAGCGAGTCGGGAGCACGGATGCTGGTGGAATGCCCATCTTGTCACCTGAAGTTCTGTTCCTTTTGCAAGGAGGCATGGCACCCACAGCACCTGTGCCAGGAAAACCAAATTCCTTTGCTAAATGAGCATGGGTAAGAGGGGAACCCACAGAGGTCACGCTGTCTTTTGGTTCTTTATGGCATGGGGTACTAGCTCTGTGCGTCTCATCAGTTTAATGAAACACCTTCTTTCTAGCTCCTTAGGTGAATCTCCAAGGCTTTCCTTCTCTCCTGGTGTTTCCTAAATTTAAGTCCTGTTTTAATTATTGTTTTAAATGATAATTTTATTTTTTAATACTTAATATTATTTGTGTACTTACAAAGTTTGGGTTGCCACTGACACTTCTGAAAGTTGAAGCCCTCCAGGGCTTTGAATCTACCTAAACAGTTTGCTCACATGCTAGAATTGTGACTTGCGCCCATACAAAAAATCCAATACACCAACGATATTCTAGGATTCTAACTTATATCCTAGATAGGATATCCTATCCAGTCAAGCTTATACTGTGATTAAGAAATCACCTCTGCTTAATATTTATCTGCATAGACAAATCTTAACTCTTAGGCAGAGTAAAATGTCCCATTTTGTGTGAGAAACCTGATTTAAGCTCATACAGATAAAGTTGAATAAGACATTAATCTACAGAAAGAGAGCACTTTTGTATTTAAATTAGATCATATCTCTGGCCATCTGTCTTTGTCTTTAGAATCAGATGACTTTCAGTGATATGCATTCAAAGTTTTCTATAAATTTTTTTTTGCAAAAAAATGAAAGACTTCCTTAAAATCTAAGCATTCTGCTTGCTAAAGACTTCATTGAATAGGAGTTGCCAGAGAGCTCTTGCCCTAACTTTTTTTTCTCTGAGTTTGATATCTGGCTTTAGCGGAGTTTAAGGTTATTTTGCCCAGGCAAGGACTGTTACGAGTTGCATAATCCAGTCTTGTTAAATGAATTGTGCAAGCTGTTTTGCAGCGTGCTGATTTTTAATTCTACAGATGATAGATTAGTGGGTGTACCGAGTGGTAGTTTTATGTAGCATAAAAGACAAAGGGAATGGAGTTTAACATTATATTAATAATCTTATACCTAGTAGTGAGTATACCTCAATATACTGTACTGAGCATAACAAGCCTCACACACTGAGTGCATTGAAGACAACAACATTAAATGCTCTGGAAAATAAGCTCAGCACACATTAGGACCTGAATATCAACAGTAATTACATTCACATTTAACTTTAATGTTTCCTTGCTCTTCTAGATCACTTATTGGAACAGAGTCAGAGGCACCAATTAAGCAGTGCCCAGTTTGTCGGATCTACATTGAGCGAAATGAGGGCTGTGCTCAGATGATGTGCAAGAACTGCAAACACACATTTTGCTGGTACTGTCTACAGAACTTGGATGTAAGTGCTGCAGAAAAAAAACACCTAGATAAAGGGTAAAGGGGCTGGGCTTAATCTGAGGCCCTGTACAAACTCTTCATCAATTTATTGATATCCTAGTGAATGTCTTGGCTCAAGTCAGCTCTTGACTTCATTTCTTTCTTCTTGTTCCCCCAGTGTTTTTATTTATATGAATATCTTTTTTTTCCATAAACATTTCTGTGGGTCCCATGCTAGTTTTCTGAGGGAAATGGGCCAGACCAGTTGCTTCCTGGAGGTCCATTCCAGCACTACCTTTCTCTGATTCCCTCTTCCAGTGCAGTAGCTAAAAAATGTTTGAGAGCCAGGGAAATAAGGGTCTTACACCTGACAGGTCACAGCCTGTTCAAAGAATGGCATGGTAGTGGGTGAAGGGGGTTGTTTAACTGTAGGGTGAGCTCATATAGACTAGGTCTCCTTTACTAGTCCATCTCTAGTGCCATGATTACTAAAGAGAATGATTGGTTAGTAGGTTTGGCTATAAAAGTATTGGATTATAAACTTGAATTATGAAGTACAGGTTGCTAGTTACTTCTCAAGGGATACCAACTAGTCTCAACTTGTGTGGCTTCAAGTTTCCTATCAGGATTAATAGTATGGGAAGTAATGTGCTCATGTATATTGCAGCTTCCCTTCTTGAAACAGTTGTCAGAAACAACAGTGGGAGTGTGAAAAGGACTTTGCCAGCACTTGAAATAAAATGTTAGGTGCTGCATATCTTTTCTTCTTTGTACTTTGCAGCCAGCAAACAATGAGACTTCCTCATTCTTTGTCCTTCCTTTTCTCAGCATGCTAAACAGGTTTTGCTTAGTGTCAGATCCTGTTTCTGTGTGTGAGCATGCTTTTTCAACATGATTCTTACCGCTTGCCCCAGAGTACATACAGTCCACAATTGCTTAACACTGTGCTGAACTGGAAGACTGCCAGATCTTCACAGACTCTGCAAACATGCCCTTATCAAGTTTTCATCAGTTCAAAATGAGGAAGAAGAAGGAAGCTGTAGGGTGATTTAAATGTGGTTTTTCTAAATATGCAGGGTTACAGGAGCTCCTGGCATAGGTGAAGGTACTACCTGCAGAGCCAAAGAGCAGGGCTTTAAAATGAAAGAGGAAGGAGCAGCAGGTTACAGCACAGCTGGCTAAGGGAGGGTAACACAGGGCATTAGTCACTTTCTAAAGTAAAAATGGATCATTTCGTAAGCATCAGTGGAAAAAGAACAAGGAAACAGGGATTTCTCTTTTTTAATTTTCCTGTTAAGCTTAAGAAGGAAATGTCTATAAGGTGTAGGGACAGCAGGAGAACAGAAGGTAGAAGTACTCAGAAAGATGATTCCTCAGGTTGCTAGTTTTCGGAAGTATCTGCTATTTACTTTGCCCCTTTATCACCACCAGATTACAGATGTGCAGTAGGTGCAACACATATACTTGTGGTTTTTAAAAGTGGGGGTGAAAGGTTCTATAAAATATCTCAGGTCCTACACACACCACACTTTCTGAAACTGCAAAAAGTCTCTCAAGGTAATTATTTGGAAGTGGGATGAACTAGTCTGCTGGCAGCTGGTAATTTTAACGCAGCATCGGGAAGGTTGTATTTCCAGTCCAGTCTTGAACCTCTCCCTGCAGTACTGTAACCTGTTCTTACAGCTTCTACTTTTGTTTTTCAGAACGATATCTTCTTGCGACATTACGACAGAGGCCCTTGCAGAAACAAGCTGGGCCACTCACGGGCTTCGGTGATGTGGAACAGAACGCAGGTGCGTTCCTAGTCAGCTGAGCCGAGCTCTCATACACGCAGGAAGCAAAGTGATTTTACCCTTCAGTGAAGGATAAAGATGATTATTTTTATGTTTTTATCTTTCTTTTTGAGATCTCTGCTGTGCCTGTGCATGCATATGTATATTTTATGTACCATGTCAGCTAAAAACATATTATTCACCGCCATGTCTTTCAGGTTGTGGGGATCCTCGTTGGACTAGGTATAATAGCATTGGTGACCTCTCCCTTGCTGCTTGTGGCATCTCCGTGCATCATCTGCTGCATTTGCAAATCTTACCGAAGCAAAAAGAAGAAACACAGCCCACCAACAACCTAAAACTCTGTGTCTCTCTGAGCCTCCATTTGCAGAGCCTATTTTTTGTGAGAAAGCACAATGGTTGTATTTTGGTGCCATACCTGCCAAATAATACTCTTCTACGCCAATTCTTGGGATAAGTGCCTATTCCTTACAGGCTACTCTATCACTAACAAGTCCCAGTGTGGGAAAAGTCTAGATTATCATGCAGTAGATATGGTGTAGGTTTTTGCTTTCTAAAAGGAAAATGGGACACCATTCAGTAGTGTGTACCCTTAAATGAGACAGCTTTTGAGACTGCTAGAACTTTACTATCTTCCATCAGCTGCACATGACTTGATCCTGCAGTATTACTCCACCTGTGCAGACCCAGTCATTACTTTCATGCTTTCTGTTGGTTCTCGGTGACGCTCAGACTCTCAAAAAGTTTGGGTTATTTTTCGAAAGAGGGAGAGGGAAAAGCTTGATTAAGTTCCTTTGTCTGTTAGCTTGTGTCCCATTAAAGATAGCAAACTCTTAAGAAAATATTTTTTGACAGCTTCCTGTCAATTGGCTGCCATGGCATTTCTTTTGGCATTGCAATCAATTTGATTTATGCAATTGAAATCCATTACAGAACTAAAACCCAACAAAACTATTTCTAACTAAGGTAACACTCTCTTTTGAGAGTCTGGACTACCTTGAGAAAGCTGGTATTTTTGTCAGATCAAACATGACATCTACCTTGAAATATCAGAAGTATGCATATTTCCCTGCCATTGAGCATGCCTTTTGTCAGTAACCTGCGAGCAGCAAACTTACGTGAGGCTAATATGTTAAGAAAGGCTATGATATGGTTCCTATTTTGTGCACAGTATTGGAATTCTGGTTGTGCCTGTGTAGAGTGGCCACATGGGCATGGATAGAATATGTTTTTTCAACAGTTTACATGAGGCAGCAGCAGGAACCCTGTTAAAAAGTTACACAGACCAGGCTAAGCCAAACCCTCCTTTAAAATGTTATGGACCTGCTGAAGCGAATACTTGAGAAATGCTGTGTAAATATAAGCTCTGTCCCTTGGTGGCTGTTTCTTCTGTCCCACTCGAGGTTAACAAACTCTGTTTCCGATGATTTTTACTTGCTCTAAATCTGAAAGGCTGTCATTTAATGAATGCTTCATTTTAATTTGGTGCCTCACCACCAGACTGATTCAGACTCTGGTATCAGTTACACCTGTGTAAGTTCACCAAATCCTCACTGAAAAGCTGGAATTACTCCAGGCTCACTCAGGACTAGCTGATGTCAGACTCTGCTCCCTGGAGTTTATTTCCTTAATGGCTGGTGCTCCTCACAACCCTGGCTGGTGGTGGCTTTTGTTCTAGACTCCCATCTGTGCATTTTTTATCTGTGGGAGCTGATCTGAGTTTGCACTATGTAATCGGTTGTAATTCCAACCCCCTTTCAATAAGGGCAGCAAGGTTTAAATGAGGTGCTCAGCCTGAGCAGCATGCTGGGCTCACCCTCCGCTGATCTGCCCTCCTTCCTCTATCTGCAGTGTGAGGCTCTCGAAGAGTCCTGTGAAGGGCATCTTTGCTGTTGCGTTTGGCCGAGCCTCAGGAGCTTTGCCTTCTTGGCAGCCATATATGTGACCTCTTTTTTGTGTAACTTTGCTCTCTGGTTACTGTAACAGAAGTGGAAGATGTTCTTATTTTAAGAAAGTGTGGTCTGTTGAGCAGACTAGCAGGAACAGAGGCCTTAAATGATATGGTCTGGTTTACTTTTTAATTGATTTCTTTTATAAATACTGTCTGACTTTGCTACCAGTCGTGACTGGAGGGCAGGCAGGGCTCACCAGTGTGAAAGACTATATTTATTCTCCATCCACAGCTTCGAAGGGAAGCAGAGAGGTAGTCAGTACATTCTAAATACAGAGTGCAATGCAGGCAACTGCCATTTATAAAAAATAGAGAATGTTTTCTGTATGTGTTTTCTTTAAGAGCACTAATAGTAGTGCTTGCGGGTACTTGTGACAGATTGAAGTGTCCAGCCCTTGGCTTTGCACTATTTTTCTACCTATGTTTTTATGGCACTACTGTAATTTCCATTTTATTTATGAACTTGAAGTTCAGAGTCTTACTTTAATGAAGCGTCAAGGACAAAGATATAGGAGCTTTATAGTCTCTTTAACCATAACCAGCATTGCAATGTACCAGTATCCTTTGCATGTTAAATTCATGGATTGTTCATGTTTTATGGTCTTGTGTATGTCCAATGCACCCTCTACAAATCTGGTTTCTTTCTGTGTCCCCTCAGTTTCCCCTGGCTTGTTTTTGCTAAAATGCCTATTGGAATGAAAGTGTCATGTTTTCTTCATTAATACTGCTGCGTTAATGAAACTGCCAAGTTCTTCCATGCAACTGAAGGCAGTTGTCCTACCCTGAATACACTAAGGGACACAAGGTCACCATTTAAATTGTAATACTAATTTAACCTTTGTTTGTTCTTTAAATGCTGTGTAAAATTAATGCAGATCTCTTGGTAAAGTGAGAATTTGTTTAATTGGTTTGAAAGATAATATTTTGTAACAGCATTTCACACCTGCATAGTTGTAAAGTCTGGGAAAGCAACACTATTTAGTTTATTTTTAACCCTTTAGCTAAAGTGGAGGGTAACTCCTTTCAGAGGCTAATTCCTGCAGAGCAGAAGGAAGGTGTACCTTTTCTGTGTGCACATTTTATTTCTGGTGCCAGTTTAGGTGCCTGGTGGAGGTACCAAAAGCAGTATGCAGGTGTTAGCACAACCTGACAGCCAGAGTGCCAGTCCAGGCATCTAAGGAGCCTGTACAGAGACTGGTAGCAGTGGCCTAGTTGGAGGTCTTTACACTAAAGCTGGGTAAGGAGAGTGTGAGCCGCAGGCATACCTTCCTTTGGTTGTGTGCATGCAACAAGTTGGCCAAGATAGAAGCTCAGGAAGTACTTTAGAACTTCAAAGCTTAAAATAGAAGTCTTACAAAGATTATTTTCTTTAAAAGGCTGTGTTCAGTGCACCATGTGTCCTGGCTTTTCATTGCACAGGGATACATGAGCAGGTGCTTTAAGCAGACCAAGACTTGGTCAGCGTCTGAAGATGTGCTAACTCTGCTGAGTAGAGCAGTACCTGTGCTCATGTGCTGGGAGCAGTAGGGCCCTGTTGCCTTGTTTTCCAGAAGGCAGCTATTTTGCACTAGCTGATATTGCTCACAGAGTTTCCAGAGAACCATTTTAGCAGGGATCTTTTTACAGTGTTGGGTTTTGGCTTTTTTGGTTGGTTGGTTGGTTTTCAACTGTATAAGAAAAATCAAAGTCACTTTATAGGAAATTTATTGCAACTATGACAAATAATACTAACAGAAATCAGGGAGAAAGAAACAAAAACAGGACTCCATCTACTCATGACTCTTCTAAATCAATGTAGCTGTAAATTTATCCTCTTGAACGCTATCTGCGTGGTGTAGTTGATGCATGTTAGTACCAGGCTTCACTGCTCTTTCCCCTGTGGCAGGTGGCTGGTGTGTAAGTAGCATCCAGGGTAGAGCTCAGGACTGACACAGGGCAAGGTACTGCACAGGAGCTGGAGTCTATGGCACAAGGCCCACCCTAGCTCCATCACCAATTTGCTCCATCTCTCTCACTGAGAGAGACCTTGGGGGTTTTAGGCCATTAACTTTATATTGACAGGATCTACAGAAGTCTCTCTTGAAGAACAGAAGTGTCAACTGTTGTGTTCCCTCTGAACCAGGGGCATTTAGCCTTCTGGGCTCTAGAAAACAGAAGATCTTAGACCAGTGCAACGAATCTGGATTTTTGCTGCAACTGGCCACAGATCTCCATGGCCACATATCTCATTATAATTTCCCAGCAGTCACTGGAGCTATGTCAAATACAGCTGAGGACCCCACTCAGCATCTCATATCCTTGTGTTAAAATGAGGATGATGATAACCTTCTCCCCAAATCACCTGCTAACAGAAAGAAAGTATTTGTCATGCTGTGGCGTAAGTACTTCCCTGCAGTATTTATTCTAGAATCATGGGAGACAGTCAACGCTGCCATTCAATATTTGATGATCTATTAATGGTGCATGGGGTTACATACTCCAAAGAAGGGCATGAGGGTTTAACGACAATTAATGTTTCTGCAGTGCTTTAATGATGCCGTGTGCTGTTGACTGTCCAGTAACACAGCACAAAGTCCAAGGGCAAGTTTAAAATGTACATAATTTTTACTTGGATGAACTAAGAGAAATTGTGTATTACCTTCGTATTTGCTTGAATATATATAGAAGTGGACAGAAATCAGCTGCATTTCCATAATGGAACAATGATATCAACTTTTAGCTGCTGTGTTGTCTGGTACCACAGTGAGTGGTTGTGCTGTAGTGCCCACCACTTAAAAGATATGAAACCTGTTTTGCACTATAATCTCCTTCTCCCAGTCACTATCATCTCTCTCAAAGTAGTTCCTTGTATGATTGTGTTTTTCATCCTCTATCTCAGGCCAAAGATTCTTAGAGTAAAATTAGTGTATTTCTGTGTATGAAGATAAAAATCTTCCAACAATTTTCTCCCAGGTTTTAATAAGAAATTTGATGCTGGGATAAATGAGGAAAGATAGAAATTTCGGACTTCGCTTGTTTAGACAAACTCATTCACACTTAAGAAGTTGTCTTGGAAAACGTAAATAAGGACTGCTTTGTTAGAGATTGTAAGGAGCCCTACAACTTTTGAGCTTGACAGGAAAGATGCTTCTATGACAAGCAGACTTTTGAAAATGTGCTAGAAAACAACCTACATCCTATATACATATTTTTATTATAAAAATCAAAATAGCGTCTCTTTCTTGGGTATACTTACACAGTCAGATAATTTTAAAACTAAACAGTTGAACAGAGTGTGCTAGTTATAAAACAGTTTTAAGACATCTCTCACACATGAGTGTGTAGGATCAGGCTCTTAATTTATGTGTCTGGCAATAAAGATGTGAAATTCTACCTCTCCTAGAGTAGTGAGAGTTGATTCTTCTGTGACATGCTGGAAGATGAACTTACTGCTAAGATTCTGGAAAACTTCAGTCTAATTTTTATTTGTCCTCTAGTTAGTAAAGTAATGAAGT